GGGGGGGGGGGGGGGGGGGGGGGGGGGGGGGGGGGGGGGGGGGGGGAGAGAGAGAACGACAAAGAGAGTAGAGAAAGAGGCCGGCGTGTTCTTTACTCCTGTGATCCCGTGTGGTCTTCCTCCTTCATGTGTGACCTCGGTTGGTGCGCCCAGAACGTATACCGAACGCTGAAATTACAAGACGGACATCAGGAACGACAAAACAAATTAAACAAAAAACGTGACTTTTCACTTCAGGTCTCGATCGCGAAGTCCGTACCGGCTTCCCCGGGATGAGCGCCGTGGTGATGATGATGTCCGAGTCCGCCGACACCCTGGCGAACAGCGCCGCCGCCGCCTGCCGAAATATACGGAGGTTTCCAAAACCGTGGCCGTGAGACTCAATTCATTGATAGGTCGAACGCCATTCTCTTTCTCGCGGGGGGCCAGGGGATGCCCTTGCACCACCACCATGCACAGAAAGCGATCCAGCACATAACCGGTGGTCCTCAAATCAGGTCGAGTTGGGGGGGCGGGGGTTCCTGCCACAGCTATGATACCTATGACGAAAGAAGGTGCAGAGAAAGGAAGGAATGATAAGGGGAAGACACGCCACACCGATTCCTAGGTCCACGTCCCATGGAGACCCATTCGTTCCTTCGGACGGCTACACCTGATACCGCACCGCGTCGTGCCGCCTGTCACTTTTGTCTCCCACAAAGGCTCTTCTCACCCTAAACCCTAACCCCTGCTTGTAGCCACCGGGGCGCTGTCATAGAAATCACGCCGACCCTTCTCTCTCGCTCCCTTTGGCTCCCACTATGGCTCTTCCAACCCCAACTTGCAGCCACCGAGGTGCCATCGAGGACGGCGGCATTCGACTATCATAAAACGTGTGTCGGAAAAAAGAACCACGGCAACACTCCCCGATCGACCATCCACTCTTGTGACGAAACCGACGGGTGCTAGCTCACGGCGAGAGGGCGCCGCTCACCCAAGCCTCCAACAGAGCTGCAGTTTTCTCAGGTTGCGGCTCGGGTGAAGGGCATTGAGACCAAAACAGCGGCGACCCTGGGGCCTCGCGCGGATTCATATATATTTTCCACCGGCGGCCGGTTCACTCCGCTGCCGCATGTGTGGGAGACAACGCACGGTCTCGTGGACTTCCCAGCAAACCGGGTAAGTACACTGGGCGGTCTGAGCCAGGCGGTCGCCCTGTATGAGAAGGGTGAAACTGGCTGGCGTAGACGGAATGATGAAGTGAACGTACAACATATACAAATATGGCGGCTGCCCGATGATAGGGCGGTCATGATCATGTTCCCCGTCACCACTGCCTTACTCCGGGGACTCCCCCTACTGCTGTACAGAAGCAGTTGCAGCAGGCGGTACATGGTGCCCCGCATCACGCACAGGGAGTGTTTTCGGGTCTCACCTCCTTCCAGCCATCGCTCATCTCCTTGGCATACCCTCCTGCGCCGCTTCCGTCCTCCTCATACTCCACCTAGACACATTTTCATGCGCCGCATTCATGTACGCGCACGCCCTTTAGTCTTCAACCTGTAGCTGCCCATTAATCGAGCTTTGTTCTTCGATGCTGCGATTGCGTTTCTAATTCGAGAGCGGATTGCCCTCCAACTCGAACAGGAGCGACAGTACCAGAAGAACAAGGACCCCACTCGCAACAATAACAACCGACAACAGCAATAAAACCAATGACAACAACGGCAGCCACGGCAACAACAACAGCAACAGCTACAACAGCTACAACACCGACAACAACGTGAAATCACCTGCAGGAACTCGGCTCCAAGCGACTCGATCTGCTCCCGCACCACGGGCCTGACGTCGTAAGCCCTCACCACGGCCCCCATAGCCTTAGCCTGCGCGATGGCGGCCAGCCCGGCCACGCCAGCACCCACCACGAGCACCTGAGGACATCGGAAGAAAAGCAACACCGTCACCGACAGCAGCAGCAGCAGCAGCAGCAGCAGCAGCCGCATCAGCACTAGCAGCTAGAACGGTGGCACACACATGGACCCGTTTGAAAGGAACAAAATGCATCAAAATGCAGTGTGGCAGATAGTGCCCGGGCGTAGACAGAGGATGTGCGGGAGGCTCCGGGCGGTTCAGCGAGAGGACAAGAGAGTAAAGCACGTCATTCACTGCCCGATGTGTTTCGTTTCCGTGTCAGGCGTTGAAGCCCCGGCGTTTCTTAAACCACACAGATAGCGGGTGCTCGGACCGCAGTTCCTCCCCCATGACCGTTCTCTGCAATGTACATTTTAAGCGTTGACCCCACAACATACATACTGCGTCCCCAAAACTCAAGAAACAAAAACACACAGGAAAACACACAAAAAAAAACACGTGACCGCACACTACATCTCGGTGGCAATGTATTCCTACCTTAGCGGGCTTGACGTTTCCGGCGGCAGTCATCTGGCCGCCCAGCAGACGGCCGAATTCGTGGGCGGCCTCGATAACGGCCCGGTACCCGGCAATGTTGGCCTACCGCACGACAAGCCGCGCCGTCGAACGAAACGAAGAGGAGAGGCAAGCAAGCAGCGGTGGCAGCGGGACAAATAAAGATGTGCATCCCCGTGACTTAGAAAAGCAAGACGTGGAGATGCCTATGCGAGAGACTACAGGCAGGTGAAATCCAGCGAAGAGGGGTGGGAAACACGTTCATCCCGCTGAAATGGAGAGTGGTGTTGTAGCCCTGAGACCGGGACGGTTAAATATCTTGAGAACGATTCGTACAGGACAAGGACGGGGTCGGGGGGGGAAAGACTAACATTCGCGCGGCGGAAGAGAGGAGGGAAAACAGATCGCGTGCAAAATCGACGGTTTGGCGGGGGCGGGTTTGGACGCAAAAGATAGAACAGCCGCAAGATGAGGCGGTGTTTCCCACAGGAGCACGTATTGGAAATGAACCGCTGCACGGATCAACAAACGAACGCAAGCAACTTTTGAGTACACCCTGCCCCCTCCCCAGCGAGGACGTCCGTTAGCAAAGCTAAAGCTGCACATTGACCACCGGCACACGAAAAGTGCACAAAAAGGGGCGGCGCTGAGGCATCATTCTCCACGACAAGAATCAGAATAAGTTGTCAGTCGTACAGCAGTACAACATACCTGCGAGCTGAGAGCATCGTACGTCTGCCCTCGCGAAAGAGTCCTAGGGATGCAGTCCATGGCCATCACGGTGGCCCCCTGCCCCTCCAGCTGCTTCACGAGGTCTCCGCTCTGAGCGGGGAACAGCAGACTGATGAGCGTGCGGTCCTCGACGAGGGCGGCCTCCTCGGGGGAAGGGGGGTCCACCTACGCGGGGGAGAAGCAAGCGGAGGCAGAACACGATTCGAAGCTCCCCGCTTAAGAGTCCGTTCGTAGAGAGGGTGTATGCGTGAAATGTGAGAGTTCGCGTGCACTTCTGTCAGCGGGCATAGGCCTCGCTAGCCGGGTGACCATATACAACACGTCGGTGCGTGTGTCCAGAGGAAGGAGAGAGATGAGAGACAATAGACGTACAGGAAGGCGGAGCTTTCGGCTGAAGAAAATCCAGAACAGTTGACGGCTTCTCCGTCCCCGTGCTACTACGGTCATACTACCATGGTATTATTGACCAGCACATACAATTGCCCCCGCGTTTGAGACTGTGGTCTTATCCTGCACCCCACGCCCTCCTCGTAACCCAAGGCTGCACCGTAAAACGGGCACCACACTTGAAAACTAGTCCCTGTACGAGTTCTCCTGCCCGACAGGGCCGCTGAACCTAGCATCGGAGGCGTTTTTCTGGTTAGCGGGTCCTCACAAATCACTTGTAGCTAAAACTCACTTTGTCCACGGCGCCTGCCGTTCCTACTGTTGCCAACTCTCCGCACAGAACCCTCTACTTGGTTGTTTCCACCACGGAGCGATATTTACGTGAAGTTGGCTCAGTCCTTGCCTTGACGACAATGTCAGCCTTCCAAGCCTCGCTGCCCTTCACCACTGTAGCGCCGGCCTCCTCGTACGCCTCGTCCGTGAAGCTGAAAAAAAACATGAAATGAAGAGGAACAGGAAGGAAGGGGCTTCGCTCGTGGTGCGCGACGTAGACGCGGATAAGTTTTAATTCCAAGGAAAAACGACGACTGCCTGCCGCGTGTTGACACGGCAAGAATCGACAACACAGTAGGTTGCTCCATCAGAGACTTTTCATAATACCAAGAAAACAACGGAAAAGACCGATATACACCTGTCGTGCTGAGTTTAACCTTTACGGTCTCTGCTCAGTACCTTCCAACATCGATACCTGTCCAAACTGACGGGGACGCCACAGGCCAAATACCCCAAAGCGAGGAACTAGAACAACTCAGCAAAAAATATTGCCTGGGGCCCCGCCAGACAGCCGCTCTACTATTGTTCTGGAGAAGGCGACCGATTGAAGACAAAAGAGAGGTAAATTACCCCTGCTGAGGCGAAACCCACCTGGCGGCAGCACCTGCCCCAGATTCGACGACGACTCCGAAGCCTTCCTTGGTTAGCATTCGCACCGACGCGGGGCTCTGGCCCACTCTTTAGTTCAATAGGACCGAAAGCGCGGGAGCCAGCGGGGGCGAAGTGTTAGACAACGCAAGGAAAAACAGGCCTGCTTGAAAGGGCATAGGCGAGAGAGGGAGAACTGACCTTGATAGGCTAACGCGTTGCATGTGTTCCATTTTTAGAAGCCGAAATCAAACCATTAGACTCGTCAGCGCTGAGTAGTCTAATGGTTTGATTTCGGCTTCGATACGTTACCACCAAAGTCGGAAGATAAAACTTGGCATCATCCACGACCAACAAGGTTTGCTAGGGTATCAACTCGCAAATCATGCTATTGACCGCACAGCTGCTGTGCAGATATGGGCACACACAAACATTGGTGCGCTGATTGAGCGCGGTCGAAGCTATATGAAGGCACACGCACAGGCACACGCACAAACTTCTTGTGTCCTTTCTGTTTCACTGGTACTTTGTGAATCCGGAGACTGGACCCTGTTGTCCAACTTCCTCTGCTCCTCCCCCCCTCTCTGGGGGGGGCCATTGACTACGACACATTTTCGTTTTTTTTTTCCTGCATCACGCGACTAAATTACACTGACGCCTTTGGCCAGCCGGTTAGCGCGGTCGGTGCCAATTCAAGAAATACGCACGCACACACGCAACGATGGCACCGACGCCGTTCAAGTGGTCATTCGGCTAGCGCGGTCGACACTAACAAAAAAGGACACAAAACACACACATACATTTATACACAAAAAAAAAAACGCACACGAACACGAACACACACCTCCGCTCTCCCGGGGTAGTCTCCTTCACCACCCCAATCTTCAGCTGGTGGTACGGAATCCCTTTCTTCTCCTCCTCGACCGCCTTCTCCTCTTCTTGCTGCGCCGCCGACGGGATGCCCTCAACGGTGGTCGCCCGGAGCTTGCTCGCGGCCGACCATGGCTGCTGCTGCAGCGGAAGCAACGGCTGCCGGTGCCATCTAAAACCATATCGGGAATGGGGGGGGGGGGGGGGGGGGNGGGGGGGGGGGGGGGGGGGGGGGGGGGGGGGGCACTCAATAGTCGTGCATGCCGTGGTTGTTAGACCATTGACTTCGCATCCCTACAAAGCCGGGAAGGAGCACGCCGGGTTCTCACCGGACCAGGCTCTCGTATCACCAAGCGCCAAGAGCCGTGAGGTATTCGGCGAGTCGTATCAAGGGTGCGCTGCATCCTGCTAAGGGTGTTCGGCATCTTGTGCTTACTTCCTTGCGTACGGATGACAGCTGCGTATGGTAATGGTATTTATTTTCTGGTGCTTTCACTTCCAGAGACAGCTGTAAGCGTTTTGAAACTGCCTCGAGGGTGCTTGACCATTTTAATACAACGTGGTGCGATTATCCCCCTTTCGCGGAGTGAGGGTTCTCGACCCCGCACAACACAGCCTACTCGACCACCATGCATGGTTACCGCAAAGTAAAAACAAAGGCAACCCCCCCCCCCGGTAACCTGGTTGCCGAGCTCACGATGTGATGGGCTTGTTTTGCAACATCGCTGCCAGGCTACGAAAACCCAACTCGGATGGCAAACACCGGGGGGCGGCGGCTTGTTTTACAACGTCGTTGCCAAGCGACGAAAACCCAACCCCGATGGCAGACACCGAGGGGAGCCGGGGGAGGGGGGGGGGCAGAATACGGGGGGTTAAGGGTCGTGTTGGCTTGGTGCTGCCGTCCAGGCGCAGACACTCCTGACATGGGCTACTGCTGTAGCGGTTTATGCGTGATACAGATTCGAACGGGCTCGGGAAGAATCTCCCACCGGTGTAAACGACGTGGTAGTCAAATCTCTTGTGCCAACCCACGAAGCCCAACCCCGGTCTTTCATAGGACCACTCTGGAAGAGGTCGAACATATTTCTTCCTGTCCCTCACCGCTGTCAAATTCCTCCTCCGGTACAGTTAGCGCCCGCACATAAATAAGAACTTCGCAGATATGGTAAGACATTGGTATAGCCTCTAAAGCAAAACGACTCTTTGAAGAACTTCAGCACCATTTGTGAGCTCGGTTAAGAACCCCTACACAAAACCTATTATAGTTGTCATTCGTCGCATGACCCTAACAATACGGGAATAACCCCAGCCTCGCCCAGAACTTAAGGTTCATCGTAAGTGCCGGCGCCAACTGCCGTATATGTACGAGACCCGTGTTGTATCTTTTTCGAGTGTCGTCGTCTGCGACTAATAGCAAGCCACAAGGGCCCATATCTCGCTAGTCGGCGATATCAACGTTTCGGCCTTTTTGTATAGTTGCCCAGAGACGATTACACTTCACACGGACTAAATAAAGCATGCATGGAGTTTCTTCGACATACTTGCATCACCAGCGTTTTTTTTCTTCGCTCTTTCGCCGCCTTCAATAATTTTATGGCGCATCGGGTCCCATTCGTGCGTGTTGTTGAGAGGGGTTGTGGCGCAAGTGTGTGTGGGTCCACACCAAGATCGCGTGGGCGGTGACGACGTTGGCGAGCTCGGTGGAACGAAATATGGCGGAAACGGCGGTAACGTCAGATGATACCGGGTAGGAACTGAGGCAAGACGGAACGGTTGTAGCGAGTGATGCACTAAGCTGATCTTCATCGTGACCAGTGGCTAACAAGAACCCTTCCTGCTGTCACGCTATTCCAGGTGGGAGACATTTCAGCATGTTTTTTGTGGTAGTACCAGTTGAGATACCCGCACGACTTCTTCTCTACATGAACGGATGATATCCTTCACTGCTGATGCTCTACGATGTGGATGCTATCGAGCTGGATGGCCTCAACGCGCCGACACGGGCTAGACGCGTCACCCAACCGAGCAAGACACAGGGGAGTCGATCCGCCTCGATGTATTTGGAAGTATTGCCGTACATCGTACTCCATTAAATAGATCAACAGCAAAAATAAATGAAATCCAGCAAGTTGTCAAGCGACACTGCGACGTGTTCCTGTAAAGGAAGAATATTACAACACACGACATCACGGAGGATTTCTCCCCGATCCTTTTGTCGTTGACCCCGTAGATAGAGAAAAATACGGGCGAGATGCCTTGTGTCATTTGTACCTATACAGTGATTTTGTGATTAGCACCTCCTGGGATCACTGATGATGAAAAATTTCAGTGTATAGGCTTGAAAATAGACTCATAATAAGCCCAGTACCCAACCGGTTTCTCTCCATTCACTGTGAAGACTTCAGCACATCCCGTTCGACTGTGGTCATATCTCGAATCGGTAGTCTCTCTTTGTATATATGTTTCGTGCAGCGTTGATATTTTGGCGATAATACAGTAGCAGAAGGCGGTAGATGGTAGCGTTTTTCAGCGGAAACGAACTATTCGGCGGCGGCGGTAAAAACCAACATGTGCCGGTAAACCGGCTGTACACCGGTCCGCCTACAGTATTGTACCAGGGCGGTATGTTATCGGCAACACAATAACCGAGCGACCCTTGATTATTTCCCACTACTTCCATGTATGGACACTTGTAGATAATTGATGGTGTTGTCTTGATAGCCCGTAGTTTTCATTGTTTCCTTGGAATCTCTGCTGTATTTTCGTATTTTGGCACCGGTATGTTTCGAAAACGCTGCAAGAACAGAGAGATAGCGTACACTATTTCATGGGCGTACCAACAGATTACGAAGAAGGTTCTCTACAAAGGTTCTACAAAATGGGTGCACCTCATTGCTGTCCTCGACGCGATTTGCGGGCGGTTCGAATGGATGAACCAGAAGGGAACGCGTGTCGAGAGCATCGTACATTTCATACACACAGCAGCAGCACCCTCAAACTGCCTCGCTGTACATGGAACGCGCGATTCACGTTTTTTTGTTTTTTGTCTTCACTTCAAATCAGCGCTCACAGCACTATTAATAGTGTCGTTTTACTCCAACCCGTGTTCACACAGAAGAGCCTCTCTACCCTCCCCGCCTGCCTTCGATCTTTATTTCGAGAAGAGTTCAGCACTCGCTTCTCTCTGTGTACACACGAACTAGCGCTATCCACTAGGCCGGAGCGGAAGCGAGAGAAAAACTCACTGTGCAAGAAAAGCTCGCTTACGCCGGGATTCGAACCCCTCACCTGACCTCTAGAAGGTTTCGAGGATACCAACTAGACCAACGGGGCGATCAGTTCACGTGTTGCGATGTGGACGTACCGGGAGCAACTCGCATAACGTGCATGACGCCACTCTAGAATGTCATCAATACTGCTGTTGCTGCGTGTGTCATATCTCCGAGGAACCAGCAGCAAGAATCATGTCCAATGCGCATGTCTAGAGCGGACCCAACGATAAGTCTGGAACAAGCTTCGAAGTTGCAACGCGGCCAGGGAGTACTTTCCTGCCGAGAATTGCGGTATTGTTGTTGTTGACTTCACATTAAACCGTATGCCAGTTGCTAAATGCCAAAATCTAGCAAAGACTCTCGGCCCGTGGTCACGAAAGTGCTGGAGCCATCTGAGGATCTAAAGAACACGCACACGTAGCAAGAAAAAGGTGTCCAAGAGCCCGAAGAGGTACTACTACACCTATGTATAATCCAGCACCGTATGCAGACCAACATTGCTGGCCATCGATACACATCATCCCCCGAGATGTGCTACACATCGAGCGGGAAAGAACGACGTGGGTCTCCGGTCTCCGGCAACATAGGCGAAGTCACCAACGCTGCACTGACAGCCCACGGTTTGACACCGCCGTGCTTGACAACAGGAGCAGTTTTTGTGGTCCGTTCGTGTCTTTCTTATCTTAGCATCAAGCGCGCTGTGCGTGTGCGGTGTGAGGTAGTGCGGTGTCAAGCCGCCTCTTTGAAGCAGCGCCGAGTGGCCCGCCAGCGGGAAACTTTCGAACAGCCAGCTGCTGCCCAATAATAACTCTCGGTGATACGTTTGATCTTCTAGGGAGAGCAAACTCATTCATGTCACACGGCAGGAAATGTAGCGCACAGCCGACCGCAAGCAGCCCCCATGGTTTCCTCGCGATAAGCCCGACCTTTTCGTCGAGCTAGAGGGATGGAGGCGGGGTGAGCGAGATGATGGAAGGGATGGACCATGCCTTTCCCTCGTCAGAACGAACAGACCCTGCATCACACCTGATGTTCAAGGACGAAAAGCAACCAACAATGGTACCACGTTGCATCTTTTGATTTCTGCATCAGTATGAACCTGTTGCATTTCTTTGCGCAACCCTGACGCACACCCACACACGTACCTCAGGCTGGTGGGGAGGGGCGATGCCCGGGGGAAGGCAGGAGCCGGTCGGTTGTTGGTGGTGACCGGGGGGGTCAAAATCCAGGAGCTCACGCCCGGAAAAGACAAAACTGAGCAGCAGAGAGCCAGCCCGACCAAGCTGCCGTGGGCGCTCGGTGACGACTTCCTCGGCTCCATCGCAAGGGTAGAGAGAGCGTAGGTATGTAACCGCGCGGGAGGGGGGGGGCTTGGGGTGAAACTTGGGTGTATGTGTGAGTTCCCAAAAGAAAGACAAGATGAACTCTGCTGTGTGTGCTGGTTCCGCCGTTTGCTGCGCTGGGGTGGTGACGCCACCTAGGCTCGCGAACACGTGTACATGGTATCCAGGGTACCACCAGCTGCAGATCCCCTAGGTCCTTCAACAAGTTGTGTGCGAACGTGTGAGAGAGTCCACACACTGCAGTCAAGCTACTCTCTTGCCCGCCCGACTCCTCTGCTTACACTCTCTCCGAAGATGTTCGGCCTCGCCAAGATTTCGGTCGCTGCTGCGGTGCTCCTGGCTTCCACAGGTACGGCAAGAGCGAAAGAAAGAGCTTACGCAATGATGGAGAAGTTTTGTCCAACAAACAGGAAGCGTTGGGCTGCTGGAGATATATATCATTTTTTGCGCGAAAAAGTGTGAGAGGTATGATGTGCACACAACTCTCTCCCTCTCCACCACTTCTATTCGTTTACTGCAGTAAGGTGTGCCTCCAGGTTGTTTGGTGTGGCCAGACCCAGGTGTGCTAGAGCCCGTGGATGCTGCGAACATATACATCGTCTTCTTTTGGTTTGCCCGCCGCCGAACCAGCCGTTGAACAGAGACACGCGGAGGCGCGCCAAGAACGCGTTCTTGACAACAACCCACCACTCATGCGTATACATGCATAGATGCTGGCGTCGTAAAGCTCACAATACGCACTGCTGTGACCTTGTCGTGCCTGCTTGCGCGTGGTCGAACGGGATGCAGCCGCGGCGGGGCCGTCTCCCGGCTCTCACTGGGTACAGCAGGTGAGCATGCATGCAGACCTTTCCTTGCTTCTCGTCCGTCCGCAGGGTTGTACATTCTATACAGCAGAGGGCTGTGTCTGTGCTCCGGTACTCTCCCGAAAGCAAGCTCAAGCAGTCGGGGAAAGGTGTATTCGGCGGCACCCTATCGGGCCCCGTTATCGCGGCACGTAAACAGACGTATCCAGCGGGAAGAGCACGTTCTGCACATTGTGCAATGAAGTCGGTCCCCGAATCATGACAACCGCCATTTTTTTTTTCAGAGAGAACGGAAAGTGTTCGTTTTACAGCCAGTGTCCGTCCGAGTGTCCATGAAACTGCTTGTTGGCACTGGCACAGTTGTGTGTAGCTGTGCGGAGGGACCACAGAGACAGCTGGTTTGCCCACCGATACAAAGTTTTTCTAGGAACAAGGCTTTCTGGGAGCAGCACAACTTCATACCAAGACCATAGCAGTGCCCACGTGCCCACCCGAGAACAATCACAAGGGAGGTTCGAATACCTACTGCTGTACACCTTTCACCTCCGGTGGGCAGCACGATTAACCGGGATATGTTTTGGTAACTCTCTGTCAGGCCGGTCCTATTGAGTCTCAGTTCATTTGTGCCCCACATCGCGTGTGCGTAGAGGGGAGCGGAGGGTCCTAGACTATGTCGTTGACAGGGCCCGGGGGCGGGGGGGGGGGGG